GCTTGGCGTGGCTTCTCCTCGCCTTCCGAGGCTCCTCATTCACCGCGGGCTCCCGACCCCGCGTCCCGCCTGGGACATGACCCGGCCTTGCGCCCCCGCGCGCCCTGCTTGCTGAGCCGCGCCGGAGCGAGTTGCGGAGGCCGGGAGGCCAGGGGAGGCCGGCGGAGGAGCAGAGTCGAGTGTCTCCGGAGCAGAGAAAGGAGCCCGCGCCCCGCGCCCGTCCCTGCCGCGCTCGCCCGGGCCGTCCGGAGCCCCGATGAGCCCAGATGGCCGGGGCTCAACCCGGAGTGCACGCCTTGCAACTCAAGCCCGTATGCGTGTCGGACAGCCTCAAGAAGGGCACTAAATTCGTCAAATGGGATGATGTAAGCATTGGGGCAGCCGGGCTCGGGGCGCCGGCCCGGGCATAGGGCAGGGCGGGCGGCGTGGGGGTGGGGCGAGGGGCGCGTTATGCAATGGGCGCGCTGGGAGCCGGCAAGGGCGGCCTCGGGGAGCACAGGTTGTCTGCCAAGGCGGATGGCAAAGGGCAGGAGCTTTGCGCGCGCTCCTGGGTCCTTGGGGTTGAGTAGTTGACATCCTTTCTGGGTCTGGCGAGCGCCCTCCTGAGGGTCTTGAATCTTTTTGGCCAGTGGAGCAGGAGGGGCAGGCAGGCTTTGCCTGGTGACGGGTCCTGAGAGTTTGGAAAGAGAAGAGCGTGAAGTTGGGATCAGCTGGAAAGCGCTGGATGTGAGCAAGACGCACCCCTCTCCGCCCGCGGACGCACCCCCTGTTACCTCTCTCGCCCGGTTTCAAGAAGGAAAGGCCCCGAAGTCCGAAACTGCTTAGTGATTGCCTAGCCCTCTTAGCGCTTTTGTGGGAGCCCACGCGGCAGAGGACACAGCGGTCCAGCCGACAGGTGGTCGTTGATGTCAAACTTCAGCACCTGGCTCCGGAGTGAGGGGCCCTGAGAAGGGGCTGCGGGGAAACACCTGGGCAGGGATAGTGAACCGAAGGGGGGCTTCCAGGGATCGTGAAGTGTGCAGTGGACCTGCAGGCAAGTGGGGGAGGGCTAGTTTTGGAGGTCTGAGCTGGCTGGAGTCTTCTGCTTGAAACAAGACACGTGAAGATGCTCCCCACGATGTACCTGCAATTTTTGCTGGGTCAAGCAGAGCCCAGCCCAGCGCCGGGGTCTTCAGTGCTTCTCATGCAGTCCAGACTACAGCTCTTCAAATGACTTCTCCCTCTCCTCCACTTCAATTACCTTCCAAACGTTTACATTAGTAATACCGCTGGAAACATGCGGATCTTCGGATGGAGAACATAAGGGGTATCAATTTTATGTTCTGGGTGTCATTCAAAAGGTTTGATAAGAACAACCCACTGAAATGAATCTGAGCTGCCAGGCGCTAAGGAAGGTCCAAATGACTAATACATCTCTTAATCAGGAAGAATTGTAGGAGAATGAGGCGTTCTTCTTGCTGAAAAGATTTTCCACCTAGTAAATTATAGCCTGTTATCCTCTAGGGTGTTTTTCTTTAATCTTCTTAAGCCATTTTTCAGTGTCTGAAAACAATTTAAATATTCCAGGTAGCGAATCCAATTACTTAGCTGAGTGCGTCTGTGTCTATATTTTGTCCAGCTGGAAGCGCAAACAGAACTTGGAGTATGAGCCACAGCTTCCTTGAAAGCTCATGTCAATTATTAAATGCTGTAGGCAAGAATGTAAACATGCATCTTTTTACCATGGTCTTCATTCTTTTCTTTCTGTCCTAGTCTAATTGGAACAGATTTTTTTGGTAAATGGAGTAGGATCAACACAATAAACCCAGACACAGATTAAATGCTTTGTGTCAAGGAAAAACAAAATGCAGTTCAACAAGAAATGAAAAAGTCCTTCCCATCTTGAGGTTCTTAAGTAGAAAGGTAATGTGATGATGATTTACAGAGAAAGAGGGTGAGGGACAGAGGGAAAAGAGAGAGAGATTTTGCAGGATAAAGGGAGTTTCAACATAAGCTCTGAATTTCTATATAGTGATGATTTTAAACTGTATGTTAAATAGTTATCTGTAATTTCTTATTTGGGAGAAAATATCAATGACACCTCAAGAATGAAGGTGTTCTGTGAAAATACATTTTGATATATCCAAGTAGATGATTTGTGTTATATGCATTTATGTAACAAATATTTCTTGCTCACCTATTAGTGCCGGCCCTAGATTAGATCGTAAGGTGGTGAAGAAAGTAGATAAAATTCTTGCTGTTATAAACCTTATATTCTAGGTGAGGTAGACATAAATGATCAAAAACAATGAGGGGGAGATTATGAGTGATGCATTGAGGTAACAGAGAGGCTGATTAGTCAGAAATCACCCGAAGAAGGTGAAAAGAACTCCCTTGGAGCATAGCAGCAGTGAGTTTCCCAGGAAGCACTTCTGGAAGGATGTAGGCATCTAGGGAAAGGCCAGTAGCATCTCAGGTCTTTTTAAAACGAAAGCCTGGACCGCACTGAGGAGTGAAATTGTCCAGAATATGATATACTATCCTACAAGTTCTGCAACTTCCTTGCTCTCCATGTTGATCTGGAGACTACAAGGGACCCAGGTCGATTTTCTTTGTGTTGCCTTTATCATCCTGAGGCATCACCTCCTCTATTCTTCCCAGCTCATACTGACCTTTCCAGAATCAAGCTGCATTAGGTTATCTGGCTATTTACATTGCATCTCAGTGAGATTGTGTGTTGAAGACAAAAAAGAACTAGATCTTGAGTCAAAGACCTTGGTGTACCTGCTAGTTCTTTGACCAGTAATCTGCCTTACTTTAGGGAAATCGCTTAGCTGCTCTGAACCTTTGCAGCTTCTCATGCAAAATTGTAGTAATGTTATAGGGCATTTAGAAATGACCAGGTATGATAGCTCATACCTGTAATCCCAGCACTTTGGGAGGTTGAAGCAGGAGGATTGCTTGAGCGCAGGAGTTTGGTACCAACCTAGGCAATACAGTGAGACCTCATCTTTACAAAACAATCAAACAAATTGGTAGTGTGTGCCTATAGTCACAGCTTCTCAGGAGGCTGAAGCAGAAGATCTCCTGAGCCCAGAAAGTCGAGGCTGTGGTGATCTGTGATTGTGCCATTGTGGTCCAGGCTCAGTAACAGAGTGAGGCTCTGATTTAAAAACAACAACAATAATAACAGCAAAAACAAAAATGATGAGTTCGGGGCTATTTAGTATTGTGAAGAAATTATCTCTTATTCCTTAAGTGATTAAAACACTGAAATCACCAGTCCTATTGTCTTGACCACCATATGGAATGGAAGATGTCACCCAGATGTAGTGCCATGCATAATTTGTTGGTCACCTTCCAAAGTCATGGTGAAGCTGGTTGCTGCTCTAAAGGTAGTCGGCAAAAGCTTTAACATAGGTACTAACCAGTTGCAACAGACAGCAGGTGGGTGATAGAACAGAGTCCTGGGGACACCCTGTTGCACCAGGGCCAAGCTGTTGCACCAGGGCCAAGCTTTAACCCTTTTGCTTCCTAGTTGTGGGGTTATCTGGAGATCCTGAGTCTGTGGGTGAGTGGGCTGTTCCGATTCCTTCAGTGTCTTGAAACTAATGGTGTATATAGTCTGAACATCAAGGCTAAATTTGTCCTTTAAATTTGGCAAGCAGATAAAGGACTGACCTTTGATGGCTACCAGTTTCACTGATGATATTAACAAATGCAACTTTATATCCTTGCTTTTGTTTTGTAGGAGTAGGGTGGAAGGAGTAGGGGAGTTCTGGCGGGATAGACAGGAAGAACTGTTACTTTTGCTGTTTAAACTGGGGAACTCAGGAGGTTGTGAGAGTGGCCCCTTTCTTCTCTGGACCTTGGCCTTGCTGTATATTGGGCAGGATTTGGAAGACAAGAGAATATGTGGAAACGGTAAAATAGGTCCCTGATCCCTGATTTGCTCCTATCTCTTTTTCCCACAACCTCTAGGGGATGGAAGGGTCTTTGTTTGCTTGTTCTTTTCTTTTTCTTCACTTTCACCTTCCAAATTCAGATCTTACTGTAGGCAAGTCACCTAATGCTTCCCAACCTCAGTTTCTTCCACTGTAATGTACACATTGCAATATTTCCTACCTCATAGAACAGCTGTTAAGGTTAAATGAATGAATGCTTAAGCATTGCTTTGTATCATGCCTGACATACAGGAAACCCTCCTGACACAGGAAACACAATAAAACATGTTTAAAAAATTATTGTTCCCCACCAGTAAGAGGGACATGAATTTTTTCAAGGTGCTCGATATGCATTATGTGACTCTCCTATTCAAGTGGGAAGATGTAGTCTTACTTCCATTCCCTTTAATGTGTGTTTTGATTTTATATTTTATAATTTGGAGAGAAAAACAGATTTCTTTTTTTACCCCTTTAAAAGTTTCTGGTGTTTCAGAGAAAGTGAATCTACATAATGCAAAGTAGGACCTACTCTCTCTAAAGCAAGTCAGTTTACAAATCATCTTAAGTTTTATAGGTTTATTTCTACTTAAATTCCACACACACGTGTGTGTATATATATATATATGTCTATAATATTATATTTAATCTGACATTGTACATCTTGTCTTGCAAGCATAGTTTTACATTCAAAAGTTGTAATTTCTAGACTGGCTAGGTTGTTTGAGGGAAAGTCTGAGGAAACTCAGGATTGGATTTGCATTAATGCCCTGTGAATTTGAAATAAGTAACTTCCTGCTTTACCGCCATCCCACCTCAAAACAACAACAACAGCAAACTCCAGCTAAAACAGGTAATTAAAAAAAATACTACTATATGGCACATTTCCCTGCATCTATACAAAACCTTAGCTAAAAATTTTGTGTTATGTGGAGTCTACAGTTCCAGTTTCCAAAATGATGACAAGTTCATGAGGTGGGAATTTAGTAGCATTCATTTTGGAATGGTTGTTGGAAACAAGGACAAAACATCCCGGTTTGTAGCCAGCAGATGTGGGTTGGGGCACCCACAGAGTGTGAGGCAGTTTAGATTTGAAGGCTAGCAGGTGCCCTCTAAAGGGCTGCTTAAATATACCCAGATATGTCCATTTCTCATGTCCAAAGAGCTTTGTGAATTTCTCAATGTCACTTAGTAATTACTGTAATCTAAGTGTAAGTATATAAGTTTTTCCAAGTGAGTTATTAAAGCTATTTTAAGCTTAAAAAAAAAATCAGAGCATAACATGCATACAGTAAAATGTGCAAATTATGTCCAGCGGGATCAGTTTTCACAAAGTGAACACTCCCATGTTACCAGCACCAGATCAAGAAACAGCATTGCTGACCCAGAATTCCTGGTGCCTCTCTTCCGGTCCTTATACCCCATCCCGAGGGTGACCCTTACCC